ATTTCCCTGTATGTTAGTTCTATTTAAGATATGTTACTGAAACCATTTTACCTGAATGTTGTTATTAACCATTATCTTCAATGTCTTATGTACAGCGTTACAGACGTCTTCAGAAACTTCATACACACATTCTTCTCACACTATGCAAGAGAAGAATTGTAGGAATTTGAATATATCATCTTTTATGCCCTATGCTCGTCCTAGAAGTTAAAGGGCTTATAGTAAACTATTAGTGAAAGTATTACAACATATTACATCTTCTGTTAACATTAAAAACTGTCGCCAACTCCTTTTATACTATTTCATACCATTGTCAGCGTCGTTTTCTCTATTTAATAAAGGAACTCACTTCATCTAAATTTATACGTATGGTATATATAAATAAACATATTTTGTTTTTAACTTACAATGTAAGTACACAAATTAAGTACTATCCAAAAAATCTACCTTAATTTGTTATTCTTCCTTTAAGCAAAATAATTTTCATCTCCATCCAGTTAATTCTATAAACTTTATTTGAGTCACTCAGAAAACAAAAGTCCTCTAAATACTAATTTATGCAACTCTCACACCAATATTGACTTTGCTTCGTCGCTTTTATTTCTGTTACAGTTTTCACTTGTGTCAAGCAAGGCATTTTTTCCAGGCTTGTTAGTTTGCTTTGATCTGCACTTCTACATTATTTGTCATACACTTTTCGTCGGTATAATAGCTTTTCAAGGTGTTGTGAAACTGTAGTATAACAGTCACTGTATTAAAAAGTGTGCTTATACATAAATTATGTACATAAGGTGTTTTCCAATCTAGGATCTAGTTCTAAGCATTTATCAATGTTGCATCTCGCATCTTGTTTACCGTAAAAATGGCCGTCAAAATCTCACCAATTGTTCATCCAAACAGCATAAGTCATATACCAATTTTTACTCTTTAAATAGCCTTTAACTTACAATGCAGTTCTAACAACGATCTTTCGAAAGATTTATGAAAAATCTTACAAAAGACTGTTTGAAAGATTTTTGCTATTCTGGCATAAAAGTTTTTCAAAAAATTTTTTTTATTTGTAATTCGTGGTTAAAAGCTGCTTTGTGCTATTTCTTTCTTCTTAATAGCAAATCTTTCATGTGGTTTTTTAAAAGACTGAAAATTCTTTTTGGTCTTTTAAAAGACCGCTTTTGGAATACGAAAAATATTTTAAACAATCTTTCCAAAGATTTTTAATTGTGCTGAGCTGAAAGATGTTTTTAGCAGATCTTTCGATTAACAGATGATATTTTCTTTGCGCTGTCAGAATTTTCTTCGTCGCCAGAATTGTCCTGACTATTTATTCAGCAGATCTTGCGATCAACAGCTGATATATTCTTTGCGTTTTTCGTGTTTAATTCTTTTTTTTAGCTGAAATAAAATACTTAAATATTAAAAAAAAATTATTAATTAATTCAAATTTGTAGAAGTGGAACAATTGTTTCTAATTTCATATTTAAAACGACGCAAACGTGAAACTATTGATATCCTGTGCATAAAAATTTTATAATATACATTTTATATATATATATATATATGTAACGTATATATGTATATTTTTTTTATATAATTTAATTTTAATATTTATTAAAATTTTTTTACAATTGATTTATTTGTTTACTTATTTATATACATATTTAAGCTATAATTTTAAAACCTGATAATTTTTTTTCACTGCTCCGCTTAATGCAGCAATAGCTGCTACCATTTTTTTTATGACATGCATTAAATTTAGTAAATAATTATTTATGTATAAATGAAAATCATAATTCAATATATATCATATTTGTATTCAAATTCAATTGTTTACTTGCATGCGATAGTGATTAACAGCTGTTTTTGATTTCACCACGAAACAGCTTTCTACCACGAATTACAAATAATAAAACTATTCTGACTTTCATGCCTGAATAGCAAAAATCTTTCAAAGAGTCTTTAGTACGATATTTCAGACATCTTTCGAAAGACTTAACGATTCTGTTTGGTCTATATCGCCGAATGTAGTTACTTTATTGCATATTTAAATCTTATTTAAGATATTTAACGTATTTCTTTTTCACGTTCGTGTGGATTATCTGACAGTCGTCTGTGAAAAAGCCTGCAGATAGATTGGGCGTACGTATGTTGATTTGAGTTTTTCTTTACTTCTATCAACTCAAACTTTTTAGAAGTGTTTATTTGCATTGATTTTTGCTATAATTTTGATTCTGCTTTTCTATTGTTTTTTTATATCTTATCAAACAAAACAAACAGAAAACTGTGACAAGTTTAATAGCATTTAACACGCTCCGCACTCCACTTGTAGTGACAATTTGTTGAACACATAAGCAATATTTTCATGCTACACTCGCCGGTACATATGAATGATGTCCTCAGGAGGGAGAATGCATGGCTTTAATTTTAAATAAAGGAAATCGTCTGGTCGCCGTTCCATTTTAACTTTTAAATTGCAATTGCTTTGGGTTAAGGCTGATGCGGAAGCGGAAGCACAAACAGACGGAAATTTCTTTAGTGTCGAGAAGTAGCCTTATGGGAATCAAAAAAAAAAAGTATTAACATCATTAGAACGGTAGTAGATAAAAATAATTTAAATTATATGCTTTGATTTTTGACTGTTTTAATTAAATCTGCTAGAAATGAGTATCTAAGGAAACAGGTCAATAACGCTGGACATAACAGAATGTTAGCTTCATTTAACTTTCAATTTTTATTGATGTTTTTGAGATATACCAGAAATAAGTATAAATCCACCAGCAAGACACACTTTTGGTTGACAAATAAGACATATAAAGCAAAAAATTTGATCACGTCCCATTGGTGTTGCATATGAAGCAGGAATGACCTCTCCGATGGACTATGGCTGCACCCTGCTAGGTGCTAATAAAAGCAAAACAAGCAAACGTCAAATTACTGTATCATTGCCCTTTTCAGACTTTCTGTCCTCAAAAGGAGCGCTCAGCAAAAAACGCATTATTATTTATATAACATAAACATTGTGTGTTGAAGGAGAGCATTTGTAGATTTATGACACTTTAGAGCGCAACCAGAATTGCATGTTGATTACTTTTCATAATCCGAAAAAATTTGAAAACACGAAAAGCACAAAAACATAAATAAAATAAGAGCGGAATTTTTCTACAACATTTATATAAAGGGGCGTTGAACAGGGCGTCACTGCGAGCAGTTGCAGTTTAAGTTCAAAAGTAAATGAAAACTGATACAGAACATTTCAGGTTAAAGAACAATAGCAGCTTATAAATTATAAAAACTATTGAGAAGTGTATAAAGAATACCTAATTATGTAAAATGAAACTGAGCCATCTTCATTTAGATCGTGAATGAGCTCTTGAACGGTTGAAATCCGACGCAAACATTTTTGTTTTACGTTAAAACTCTATTACTCTGCCTTTGCTAATATACAAAACAAAATTCTCATATTTTGTATAATGAAAATCCAATGGAGATCTATCAGCTATCGACACACGACTACTGAAGATTGAACAGAGTACGCCTTTTTTGACAGGTCGCCTTATTCTCCTTTTAAATGTAGAAAATGCAAATGCCGCCATCAATTGTTCCACAATTTCTTGGTGTCAACAGGATTGTATCAAACACCACATTTTTAAAGCAATCATCGTCTTATTAGAGAAAAAAAATTTGACGATAGCATAACTTTCAGTAAGGTATTTTTGCCAGGCCATCAAGAGTGATCTGTGATCTAGCCCTGCTGCATTATTTCCTACTTGGATACTTGAAATTGTTTGTTTCAGTGAAAAACTTGCATCGATTTCATTTTCTTAAAGACCAACATATTCTTGAAACACACTTTTAGATAATTAAAAAAGTTATGATTGCTTTTGAATGGAAACTACAATTTCACCAATAATGAGTGATAAACCGTCCCATAAGTATAAAATTTCCATTTCATTAAAAAATACCATGCAACAAAACAAATCATATGAAAAAAAAACTACGTGAAGCAATGTTCTTCTTTGCTGAAATTCACTATACCATTCTTGTCGAAAAGTAGCTTTTAATCTTTTTCAATCCCAGCTTGCCAAATTAAGTGTATTCTTCTCAGAAGCATATTTTATCGTTACTTATCCATTTTTATTCTCAAGTGGTCATCTTCGTTTTCTGTAGCCGTTCTGATATTTTGACTATTATTTGTACTTCTAACAATAGTTCCGATCGGTTGACACATTGTTTAGTGGTTTGACTTTTTTGGAAACAAAAACCTTTTCTAAGACATGCCGTGTAGAACAATGCGTATAGAATCTTTCTATTTTCTTTCAGTCAACTACTATTTGGAGTTCTATCTATTCCTGAATGCTTATATACCTCAACTATATGTGAGCTACTTAAATTTTTACAAAGCTCTTGTTTGTATTACTTTCAACTAATTCAGATTGGAGTTCATTGATCTTAAATTCAATGTGGATCCAATACCACATAAAACAAGAGATTGAAAGGATAGAAAAACTAAAAAGGGATGAAAGCTATATTCTCGACCATAAAAGGCATGGTTACTGTTTTTGGATACACATTCAAAAGCAGTCATATATCAACATTGTTAGATCAATCTTTCAATTTGGATATGTTATTATCAAAATCAAAATTGATTTTTAATCAATTTTTTATATCGATAAATAATAATCAGTCCTTTTATTTTCGATTAATAAGCCTAAGCACAACAGCTCGCTCTACCCGTAAAGCTAAACGTATAGTACCATATATTTATCAATAACGATTTCATCCAGACATTTACCCTATCTTTTTACACCCCGACAAAAAATACTGTTGTCAGGTCGATAGATATTTCAGGTGCTATATATGAGTAAGTATTAAATAAAAATTGTTCGTGTAATTTTTTGGTATTTTGTTATTCAACAAAAGTATGACAATTCTTTTATATAAAATTAAATAAAAATTAATTAAAGTAACCTTTATAATTGTTGACATTCTTTTCAAAAAATTAGATATTGAAACCATTTAGGAAATATACACGAGCCCAGATTTACTTCAGTTGAACAATATGGACCCTAACATCCGAGCAAAAAACGTGTTTGAAAAGGATTTTTTAAATTTTGGAGACAATGATGCCGTTGTACCAACTCCTAAACTCACTCGAAAGCAAAAAAAACATCGATTTCAGTTTGTAAATCGCATTTATGCATTATCCCTACTTTGTGTTATATTGGCTGCACTGCAGTGGTATTATATCTGTAAGAAGTAAGTATAATTATTAATTTCTAATTTAATTTTTAAATTAAGTAAATTATATTTAATATCGCTTATTTCTCTTTTTTTCAGTACTGATTTCGATCTTTATATTAAGCAGAATAACTATTTTAGTCCAGTATGGATTGCAGCAATGTTCGTTTTCATAGTAGCATTCATTGGTTTCTACAACTATTTAGTAGACAGCTTCATGTTTTTCCCGCTCCTATTCATTACAGTAAGTATTTTAAAAATCTTTAAACGATATATGTGATATTTTTCTAAACGACTTTGGTTTAAACAGGCAGAATTCTCGACAACTGTCGTGGCACAGCCCATACGAATCGCAGTAGCAGCAGGTTCGGTATATGGCATATTTTTTTGTTTAATCGTTGTACCTATAAGCTACCTTGTGTCCCTAAACGCCCCGGTAAGCAATACAAACTGTGGCAAGATTTAAATTTATATTCAAAATTTACTTTAATTACAGTATTATATGCATATACCGCCCCTATCGATCATAAGCTGGACTATAAGATTGTATTTGTTAATAACTATATCTATGGTTGTGATTGTAGCTTGTGAATATACAGTAATTGAATACACCTACGCACTTTTTGCAACAACTTTTATTGCGCTGGTACATATTTTAAATAATAATATAATTATTTTGAAGACTGTTATTTAATTATTTTTTTTCTTTTCAGTACTGCTGTACTTTTGGCAAGACTATTGGCTCATACCAGTTTTACGAAGCAGAACACCGGCGCTGGATTTTATATACGCTAATGAGTTATATCACCTTTTTAACATTGCTCGGCTCGTCCATGTTCTTATTTGTAAAAGTGAAATCACTAAAATTAATTCATAATTAGTCAAATATTATATATTTTATTACTTATCACAAATTTTCATACAATGTAATTAGTTTTTTTTTGTTACTTTTGATCTTTTTGTTACTTTGTTAATTAATGGACATATCACAATTGTAATGATGCTACTATATTAAACTAAAAATGATCTAATTTAAGTCAAGATTTACCAGTCATTAAGTTAAAGGAACTTAGTAGCATCAGATCACATAAAATTATTTTGTAAAAATTGTGTCCTTTTTAATAATATTTTATTTAACATTACCAATAAAAACAATTAACAAGCACATATTATTATTAATTATTATTCCAAATTCGCATATTCGCTATCTACTTTTGATTACTGCTTTCTGTTTACTTGACCGTCGGTCGATGCTACCTAACAAAAAAAAATTCTTTTGGGATCTTTGAGGATGGCAAATGAGTTATATTAATTTTATTCTCGACCCAATTTGTCAATGATCGATTGAAAGGAGGAATCTATAAGCGCTATTATGGAAGAATATGGCGGATGTATAGAACGTCTTAAGTACCCTTTACACAGTATCGTTCGTTGTCAGCGATCGACGTCGTCGCTTTCTATAATGGTAAACTATTTGTTTACCGAAGCGCTGTCGGATCATTTTTCATCTCCGTCATTTTTACATCTAGTCTAACAACTGACTATTTAAACATTAAAAAAATTGCACATAGAATTCATAGGTCATCCGCCTGATTTGGTGTCCAATGACTTCTTTTTGTTTCCGAACGTCAAACGCAAGAATAAATTGCGTAGACAACGATTTTTGTCGGCGAAAGCAAGAACGAAACCGTTGTTGCTTTTAAAAATCAAGTTTAGGAGGTGTCTGAAGAAGATTGGAAAAAATTCTTTGACAAAAGGTTCAAACGCATGCAAAAGTGTATTACGAGTAATCATAAAGGAGAATACTTCGAGAAACAATAAAGCAATATTCAACGATAAGTTAGTATTTTTTCATTATTAGGCTATAATATATATATATAGTGATATATATAATGATCCTCGTACTGCACTAAATCAGTAAAAATTCTAACATTTTCAAGTTTTGTATACTATAAGGTTTACGTCCAGTTTTTCGTGTTCTTGGTTAACTTCGCTCTTACTGATTATTTCTTTGTTAAAAAGTTCCTTCATATTGTGGAATAATTGTGTTGCCTTTCTAGAAATGGTAGAAGATTATTCCAAAATCTTTTAAGTTCCAAAGCAGTTTCATGGCAGTTTTTAACAAGAACTCAAAAGATAAGGAATTCAGTAAACTACAAACAATATCCTATTTCTTGATATTCCTTAGTATGGTTAGACATCTTTTGATTAATTTGACCTCTTCTCTGGAACTTTTAGTCTCAATTACTTAAATATTTTATTATATTCTATATATAACCATACCAAAGAACTCCAATTAAAAATTTTTTTTTTATAAACATTAATGGAGTTTACATCTACGAGACAAAATTATAAATCTGAGTATTTTTATTTTTTAGAAAAAAATGTTTTGTGTGTTTTTTTTTTGTATAATGACATAAAGCTAATTAATTTTCAATGCGATTTAAACCTATATACAAATTTTATAGATATGAGTTGCATTGAATTTTTATAGATATTGAATGAAACATGACTATATCGAATTTTACATAAGCTTAACTGTAGTTAAGTGATTACAATGTTTATTACTCATATCGGTGCAGAAAAATTGTCACTTTTTGTAATAGAAATAAACTTTCACTGAATTACGGACTACCAGCTAATAGAAGTTCTGAAGGTGAGATCAAGATCAAGGTCACGATTTCGAAAACTTAGTAACAGACAATAGATATCAAATATTAGAAAAATATAACATTAAGTATTATTATTTTTGTATTTGAAATAATCATTAAAAATATCACAATAAGGTTTTTACACTTTTTTATGGGAGACAGCCAACTTACACTGTCTTAATCTAACCTATCATATGTGTTTTTTAAGCTACAGTTTTTATAGTTAATAGTAATAAAAAATAAATAAATCTATGCTTCAATAAACACAGATTATTAAAGTTTTTGCGAATGCGAAGAGTATATCATCATTATCATCAACTTTGATTTTCACAAATCCAGGTCCGATTAGATTTCCTTTAAATGTTTGTCTTCAATGATCATGATTTTGGCTGGTATTCATCGGTTTAATGGTATCTCTTTTTTTAGCAAAATTTTTACTTCCAAAATATTTGTTTAAAAATTTTATAGTTTTTACTAAACACAAGGACATAATATAAAAATTTAACTTTGACTAATAGTGTTGTAATCAAATAATCTCTATTAAGACAAAATTTTTTTTTAATTTACTTCCTACTTCTATTAACAAATATTTATTTTCGTAATATCATAATTGTGTAAATTCATTTAAGCAATTAACTTTTTAACTCATCCATTCCTCCATATAAACGAAGACATTTCTAGAAACACTAACAAAAAGACCCTCACTTATCCACCAAAGCAACTATCTAATATCCTCTTCGCACGAGCTGCAATCAACTGGTGTTTCAGTTGCCATTGAATACATACGATGGGTAGGAATGCATGTGCAGCTTTCTTTGAATCTAGAGAGCAAAGAGTAAACATAACGAACATTAATGTCTATTTTACTGTGGTAAAACTGTTCTTATAAAGACAGAAAAAAGAAATCAAAAACGAACCTCTAGTGTTTTTCTTCAAAATCACAAAGGACACGTTAACGAACATCCCCTCACAGGGATATTTTTCAATGGAATAATGCAAAGGGGAAATTGCGTGTACCATTGGAAACCGATTGTACGCTATAAAGGGGTTGTTTAGTACTTCTACCCCTGTATAAGTGACGTCACATGGACATATTTTTGTTGAGGGTGACTTTAGCATATTAGGGGAAAATTTCCTTTTCTGTTAATAATTTTACAAGAAAAAGTAAGCAAACACCAATTTGATTTGTTTTCTTAAAGAACTTATTATATTTCTATGACTAAAATTTTATTTTAAAGTGTAAAAAGTCATTTATTCATTTATATTTACTTATAATAATTTGAGCAGGAAATACTACACACTTCGGGTTTTTATTTATCCATCCAATTGATTAAAAACTCCAATCCAGCAATAAACCAAAAATCATTTTTAATCTATTTGGAATAATCTACCCACAAAACTCAATTTACACTCTTAAAAAAGTTTCACTATTGCCTTTCTAGGTACATAAACACTTCACTAAACACTATTTTAATTCAAAATCATGGTATTTGACCCAAGTTTTATCCACTTTAATGCTTCGATGTACATTTATTTTATTCTTCCAAAAACGCCATAAATATTGCTAGCAAAGTCGCATATAATAGTATTTCTATTGAATTGTTAGCGAAGTATTTTCAAAACTCCTCTTTGCGCCTTGACTAGATTATTATTTATCACTTCATCAGACTAAGCAATAATTGACCTCAGATCTGCATACCTCCCCGAGGAGCCTGTAACCATTCTGAGATTTCAAAAATTATTAAAATAGTTTGTTCATTTCCATAGACTACATATTTATTTACATTTACATATACATTTATCGATTACGAAAAACTGTTTGATGCGCTCAAAATAGAATATATATATGGCAGGCGTTGAGCGAAAGGGGAATACCGTCAAAAATTGTCAGAATCCTCAAAATTGGCTATGATGGAATAGCTATGAACGATAGTTTTCAGGCAACAAGCGGAGTACGTCAGGGTTGCGCATTATCATCTTTATTATTTATCACTGTTTTCGACACAATTTATTAGGCCAAATTGAATCATTTGGACTACGCTGATGACGTAGTACTCATTGCCGATAGGATCTCCGATATGCAAGCAAGCATTACGAATTTAAATAATAAATCGAATAAAGTTGGCCTGAATATTAACGTAATGAAGATTAAAACAATGACCATAAATACCAGCAATCAGAATAGCCTATTTATCTTAGGGGAACAACAACACTGCCGAGTTTCAAACATTTGCGCAACTTTGGAAAGTATTGAGTAATAATCATAATAAGTTTTACGACTAAGATCAATATTTTGAATGCATGCGTCAAAGCGACTCTCTTAAACAGCTGCGAGATATGAGCTATCACCGGAACAAATATTAAGAAAATACAAACGTTCTTGAACAGAAGTTTGTGGCACATTATACGTATTTGGTGGACAGCAACTATCTTGACTTCAGAGTTATAAAGCCTTTATAATTATATATATGGCCAGTTTAAAAATATGTCTACAATGGTAATTGTCAATTTCAGAGGTCCATATCTTCTAAGGAAAAAATTTCAAAATTTTTTGCCGTGATATGAGACTTTTTATTTTATGAAAAGCGCTCATAAAAAAATTTTAACCAAGTCGGAATGATCACTTCCGTTATTTTTTGTGAAAATCCATCCGATTCGTAAAAGAATGACCCATATGTAATGTGTGAAGTTCAGGTGAAATTATTTATTAAAAATCATTTTGATATTTTTAAATTTTTAGCAAAATTAAGTTCGGTTAATCCAATAATTTTTTTTTCAAAATTTTATTTAATTACAATTTAGTGCGTATATATAAAACATAAGGTATAGCGAAAATAAATTTTTTTAAAATAATTTTAAAAATAATTCAGTGCGTTAATAAACTTTCAACAAAAGTTTGAATTAATAATAAAGAAACAAAATTATATATCAAATATATATTTTAATATTTTTTTTAGTTTAAAAATTAACGGTTAATTTTAATATAAGTTCTTAATATAAACAATTTCAATATTTCAAACTACTTCTAAAATATTCTATCAATTATTTTTACAATGTTAGGAATTTTAAGTATCTATTATTTCAACTTGAGAACTTGAGACATTGCTATTCAAAACTGCGTCCAAAATGCTAACTCTCATCAGTTTCTTCTGAGATAAGAATATTTTTAGTTAAACAAATGAGCTTAAAAAAACTATTTTAGCCAAATTGAAGATATTAGTGACCTTTTTT